CAGTTTCCACTTCTATACGGGATGTTCGTGTGTCTGATTTTTGCACAATCGAAATTTAAAAATGCTGTTATCTTTAACGTTAGGGATATATCGTTTAGATAATATCGAGAGATTTGAATGTAATTCTTTAAATTCAAAACTCTTAATGTAAGAAGTTTTAATTAAAAAATCTCACAAATATATCAATTAAATTAATTTATTAAGACGCAAACCAGGAATAAAAATCGCGGAGAGCCAAAAAATCCGCGTGACAAATTTATTTCTGATAAAATAATCGCGACAATATGTAGCAAATTTTTAAACGCGATTGATGACAAAAACGGCCTTCGTAGTTTTCTGGCTTACTGCCTAGGTTTTGCATCGCGCTTTGTGCGATAGAAAAATAGCAACCGGTATTAAATTTGCATCTTGTGCTCATCCGTGCGAAGAAGTAGCGCAACCGAAGGTTAATTGAATCTTTTCTGGCCTGCTTGAGCGAGATGTCGGATGAAGAGCCCTATAGGACGTTGATTAACCCTTTGCGAATCAGATTTCAATATCGATGAATAATTGCACCAACACTGAATGATGCATTTTCGCAATTCAATGTTATAAATAAATTTTTATTTTATATAAAAATAGAAGAAAAATATTTTTTTTTTTTATGTACACACACGAGTTGTTTTTATACATAAGAAAACCTAGTAATTTAATTTTAGTGACGCTTTTTAATTAATATAATACAGTCTTAAAGTATTCCCACACGCGCTTTCTCATAATGCATGTAATAACTTACCCGACAGCTTCCTGGTAGAAGACGCTGAAGAGCGCAATTCCCACGCCGGTGCCTGCTTGCACCACCATCTCGACGAACTCGCGGCGTTTTCTGAAGTAATTGCCTAACACCAAACTGGCGGTTTCCCTCACGAGGCCGGCTCCCGTGCCCAGCACCACCCCGTAGCTGTTGCATTTTGTAAAAGTAAATCGTATGACTTTACACCCGGCACAGCGCGCGTCGAGTCTGCGCGAAAGAATACAAGTTGAGACGATTTTTATCAGAAAGCGCAACCGCCGTCCGTATAACGAGCGCGTGCTCGCTGACATTTTTAAAGAGAAACGCTTTCTCTTTTAAAGCGCGAATATAAGCCGGGCGAATGTACAATATAAACGCGCAAACGTTTTTTCGCGTTTTATTTAAAAGCGCCTCCGCTTTATCTGTCTCTTGATGCGATTTTTCCCATAAATAAAAATGCAGTGTCACTACATTTTAACGCAAAAAGCATAACCCGAACTAAACATTTATTGTCACAGAAATATATCGTTCAATAATTCATTGCGCGCGCGATACGAAACGCGTCGCGAAATATTTCTCCTTAATTTGAAGGTTTTTATTTACATCTTCTTAATTTGAAGTTGTTTTTATTTATATTTCTTTAATTTGAAGTTTTTTTTTACGTGAATCTAAAATGCGGCAATTTTCTTCCGAAGACGATCAAAGTTTCATCGTGACAAATTAAATAATAGATATAGTAATCTATTTTTTGTTGCAAAATATTTCAGTTTGTTCATCCGTTGCTTCGATAGCTTTTATACGTTTCCACAGGTTTTACAGCTTAATAATTATTAACAATAGAAAATGTATCTCTACACGAATCGGTACTTCTAAGCTATTGATTCGCCTTGTCGCACATTTATCAAGTGGCCGATTACGCACCTAAGGACCACTTGATGCATCTGGAGAGCGAACGAGGTGAAGAGCGATGCCACAGCCAGTACGAGGCCACCGATCACCGCCGTAAGTCTTGTATTGCCGCGGCGACACGCGCCGACGACCAACGGTGCTGAACCTCGTGAAACTGCGGTACTCAAAGCCCCGGCCCATACTGAAAAGCATTTGAAATATACAATAGTAGTATTGCGGCATAAATAAAGTTGCGTTAAAAATGTAAAAAACATTGCACAACTAACTATTAAAATTTATCTGTGTGTTGTGAGAAGATGATGATATTTTTGAAAATGGCGCGTGCGTTTGCATCGTCTAACGTCTAACGTGTAAAAAATTAATTGACCCGTTAATAATATATATATATATATGTATATAATATTTAAAATATATATTCTAAAGTTTTTTATTTTACACCAACGTAATAATGTTTTTTTTAAAAAAACTAAAAATCCCACGATTGCCGTTTTTTTCAAGAGAAAGATTACTACAATTTTTCCACGAACCCAATTAAACAGCTCTTACTTCTTCGGAAAAAGCGCACTACCATTTCACATCCCTTTCACAGACCGGCCAACAGAGACGCGAGCTCGTTTCGCTGATTGATTCTTGTCGAACGTTAACGAGGAACGTTTGTAAAAACCGTTCTCTCCTCCTTGAATTTCGGCCAAAATCCGTCACGTCGACGAAAAAAACAAAAAAAAAATAAATAAATTTTTACGCAATTTTTGTTTCGTTTTGTTTTTTTGTTTTTTTTTATCTATTGCGCATTTTGAACTTGATATGCTTTTGATTTAGAAAGAATGTTGAGAACGCGATATTTTTGAAACACATTCACGACAGTTTCGTCAGGCGAGAGACAGTGTTTTTGCGACATTGTGTTTGTTATATATTTCGATCTTTAAATAAAAAGTTGAAATCTCAAGTTTGTTTTTTTACAAAAATACAACATTTTAAAGAAAATCCTTATAACGAGTAAGAGAAAGAGAAGAGATAGAGTTCTCTTTTGTAAACGTCTAGTAATAAGAACATAAAATGCGCTTTTTACTTCAAATCTTTTATTTAAAGTTTTTTACATCTGTCCTTTTTTTATCAAGATGCAAGAATGCGAAATAACTAGAGAAAATGAAACGAAGATTTTTTTTTCTTTCGAATTATAGTATTTTTTTCTTTACAAAGTTATTGATGCAGATTTATTGCTCTTCGTGATTGCTCTCAAAGGATTTTGCATCAGATTTCGCAGTTACGATGAAATCCTCGCGAAAACGGGAATTACGTTGAGCTACCTTAATTTTCTTTGACAAGCGTTAAATCGTTAATTGCTGTTTATGGACCTGACGACATGACAGCTTTGTGATCTCTCTCTCTCTCTCTCTTCGTTTAAGTACTTCGGGAAAAGATCAAAAAGGGACAATATAAGGTCTTCCATTTACAAATTTATGTAAAATATTCTATATAAAGAAGAACAAAACCACGCGTATACTCGCGCTACAATGCACGCTCAAATATAAATTTCGAATGGAAGAAAAGAAATATAACACACACACTCTGTCAAGAAAATGCAATTTTTTTGAAGGTTTATATCCGAAGTCGGATGTGTACGCGCGCACAAAATTTACGCAAAATTTTTATCGCAACTACGTGAATAAAAATTCTGATATCTGAGAGGAATGTTCGATATATGCGTTGCGTGTCGCAGGCAGAAGCACACGCGTCACACACGCGAAATGTTGAACGTCGAGCGATTTAATGGCATCGCCGTCAAAGCGCGCTATATGAGCTGATCTCCTCCCGGATAGGTAGGTAATGCTAAAATTGGACGGGGCTACGTCACTTGTATCGACGTACATCTCTCTTGTAATCTCGTGAAAGCATCTCGCTTGTTGCACTTTTTTTTTTCTTTTTTACTTGACGAAATGGCGAGGATAAAGAAACACGCCGCCGCTCTTCTTTCCGTTTTACAAATACACCAATGCCAACTTTCTTCGCGAGAGCGGCGGCGAACGCGTCTCGCATAATCGTATCTTCGCTTTCTCGAACTTGGCAGATATGAATAATCGAACTGAAATGTGCATTTGTTCGGCGCTTGCCGGAAGTTCAGCCGCGCGCGCGCCCGCCCGCCCGCGCGCGCGTTCTCTTTATTGGTTGATTCAACGTCGTCGATCTGTCTGTTCGCGTCCACCTCGCGCGCGTCCCATCTATCTCTGAAACTTGGAGTGTTCGGCAAATGTTTTGAAATGGCACAACGAGCTTCGAGAAACGAACAAACTTGCATCGAAAATTACAAACGATATATTTCTTTAAAACCCTTTTATAAAGTAGTACGAGAAAAAAAAAACACACTCTACCGGGTTGCAAAAAGTAACAACAAATTGTTTGACATTTTTGATAGTATTTGGATAGTTAAAAGATAGAAAAAAGTCAAAAGTAAATCTTCTCCTTGTTTATCTGCGAGTTCCGTCGCTTGCGCGATCATCCGTTTTAATTTTCCCCCACGTAAACCAACCTACCTAGTTCTTGCTTAATTGCAAAACGTAACTAGTTTCTTTACTCAAACGATATAGACTTGACTTCTCAGTCAGCGAGAAAAAAGCTCGCGGCATAATTAATTGAGAAATAAAAATCCCGTTTTTGTACCCTACTCTTTTATCTCTCGTTATTTGATTCGCGCGAGTGCCTTCGATGGTTTTTCATCCTGTTAATTGAAAGTGTTGAATTGAATTCTCGCAGCACAGTTGGAAACAATAAAGAGAAGAAAAACAAAACAATTCATCAAGAATATTCTATTAGACGAGCAAATATCAAGATCATATTGTCTGTGTATCATCATGAATTTCTCTTTGCGTGTAAACACGGATATGACAAGATCTCCTCTCGCGCGCGAGAATTTCGAAAAACGGCGAAATGGGAATTCGCCGTCCGCGTTGAAAGAGAGAAGGGTGAACATTGCGTTATATTTTGTTTTCAAAAGGCAAACAACTTTATATTACACGTATCACGCATTTATATCCGCAAATGCGCGTTTACCCGTGCATGCGTAATTACACGCGAAGTAGAATAAGCGGCACGCGATGTTCCGCTTCTTGGCTTGCGTGTGATTTTGCGCGTTTTTTTTTTTTAAATTTTTTTAAATTCTTGTGCAAGAATTGCACGAACAGTTTTCCATAACTTTGGGAATTAATGTCTTATTTGTGCGTTATACCGCTACCGCTAGTATCGAGCAGCGATGCGGCAAAAATACGCGCGCGCAAATACTCGATGCTCTGTCGATAAATCGATAAATTTTCTCTTTATTCGCAATTATATTTATTACATATGCGCGCACGATTTTTGTATGTTGCACGTAAATATTAAAAACAAATTATATTTATCGGCAGAAGTAACGAAAGAAATCAAGACGTGTATCGATACATCTACGTTAATTGGATTTTTTTTTTTCTATCTCTCTGTTAATCTTATTGCTTTATTCAAACTTTATATTTGCGCAATTAATTGATTCGCGAACAATCTGTGTGAAAACTTAGCAACGTGTTTCTTACAATTTGCGCTAACGCAAACTGGGATTTGCGTAACGTAGATCCTTTCGCGTTGGAATTCATCGCGCGCGTAATCCGGACAATTTAATGATAAAATCGTCGGATCGGTGAAGAAAAACGGATCGAAAAATGAATATGCATTGTGTCCGGCTTCGTTGCGACTTAAAAGCGTTCTCGAAGAAGCCTGGGGGATATCGGTGCAAAGCTTCAACAGGTAGCGACTTTGCCAACGTTCTTGCGCGAATAATTTATGAGTCTGGACGCTTTTAGCGTTATTTGCGCAAGGTGCAAAACCAAAAAGAGCACCGACGAGCCCTCGTTCAAAATTTCACGAATTGAATTTGCGCGGAGCTTTTGTGATACTTGCTCTCTCATATTTCAACAGTATAAAACGCGCTCGATTGTATTTCTCGACTTTTATTTAACGCGCGCATATGCACACACACACACACACACACACACACACACACACACACACACACACACACACACACACACTCTCTCTCTCTCTCTCTCTCTTTCTCTGTCTCTCTCCTTCTCACCAATTATTTACACAGTTGAAATATTGTTACATTATTAAAAAAAGAAATAAAAACCTTAATATCAAAAGTGTACTTCTCTCTCTTTTTACGCGTTGTATAAGTTATATTTTCACACAGTATAAGTACTTTACATTATCGAGAAAGCGAGTTAGCATCATTATTAATGTTTTTACACTGCAAGAACAGCAATACGCAGAGAACTTTGTATTTTTTTGTGACGCCACAATGATGTATGAAAACACGTCAAATACACGTACATACGTACACACACACACACATGTAAGATAATTTTTCAGAATAGAGACAAAACACGCACACAACAGACGTTGAAGAGACACCGCGCCTTAAATACGTTCTAGATGGATAAAAGAGTCTTTCACGACGGTCTCAACTTACAACAACGAGACAACTCTACAGACGACGCCGTGCAAAAGCCTTTGTTCATGCTTGTCTCGTGCTCGTCCGTCATTATGTCATCCCTCATTATATCAATTCTCTCGCGACAGTCAATAAAGCTATTTTTCACGAGACGTATAAAAAAAAAAATTCAATGTAAAAATTTGCTCAATTTAAGATGAGGAGATATGTTGCTTTGTATAATTTGATAATTTGCGTTTCTTTTTTTTTTTTTTTTTAATAATAATTAAATTCAAACCAAAGGTGACTTTCTATCGGGACACTTTGCTTTCTTCAACGCGCGGCTTTTGTTCTCGAAGAATATTTTAACCAACGCTCACAACTCGCGGCAAATACAAAGCGCGGCAATGTATTTTGGTCATCGATAAAGGCCAGTCTCTAACCGTTAGACTCTCTAACGCAACATCATTTCTCTCCTTCCATTATCAAAGGATACCGTGAATTACATTTTCCGCAACCGCTTTCGCTCGACTGCCAGCAGCAATTGTTGCTTCCTCAGTGAGCAATTTCCCTTATCACTGTGACTAATTGTTGGCAATTCGAGATAAGAAAAATGTTTAAGAAGTTCCCGCAAAGCCGCAATAACTCGTCGTCTTTTGACTGTACTGAACGACAAAAATCGCTGGTTTTTCATATGTACACAAAGCTCTTTATTGAACTACAAA